GGGGGGAGGAGCCCGCGTCCGGCCGGAAACTCACCCCGCGCAGCCGCAGTGTCCCGGCTGAGAGTCCGCGGAGAGCGGACGGCGGCGGCCGTTGGGTCGGGGGCGCAGGGAGGGTGGACTGTCGCTGCCGCCTCTCCGCGCCGGACTCTACGGCGCATGTGAGGGCGAGGCCGGCCGGCCGCCGTCCTTTCCCCTCACGGTATCTTTGCTTTCTTCCCTTACGGGGAAGCCCCACATCCTCCCAGGCCCCATGGGGTAACTGCAGCGACAACTGTGCCAGGGATAATATGACATGTTCAAGTTTGTCCGTGCGTTTGAGAGCGACTTTATGCAGGTCACCAAACGGGGAATGCTAATTGATGTGCACAACTGCGCCATGATCACGACCGTGGGCATTGTAAACACCAACCCCTTCAACCCAATACCAGACATCATGCTGCTGGCACAACCTGTCTGTGATTGTGAAATGCATGTGGTGTGTGGGCAGGGCACCGAGGAACAAGAGCAAGGAGAGACAAAGACCTTAGAGGTCACCAGGCTCCTCCCCTTGAAGTTCATAAGGATCTCTGTTCACAACCGTGACAAACAACAGCTGCGCGTGAAGCTTGCTACTGGCCGCTCCTACTACCTGCAGCTGTGTGGCCCTCCGGACAAGCAGGAAGAGCTCTTTGGCCACTGGGAAGAGCTAATAGACCTCCTGAGGCCCCCCGTGGAAGCTTACAGTAGCACCCATGCCGTTCCAGCCGGGTACAGGTTCTTGTCGATGTTTGAAGAGATGGACAGGAGGGGCCCTGATGCAGAACATTTCCACGGACCAGAACGTCAGGGAGAGGTCAGCACTGGGAGCATCCATGTCCTGGAGGCGACTGCGGCCCTCTCTGCAGCTTCTGACGTGGGGCAGCCTACCCGACAGGACTTCCACAGATGCACTACCATGCCCAAAGAGGCCGCCCCGGACAATACACCTGCATGGCATGTCCGAGAGTCCGCAGAAAGGGCAAAAAGAGAGGAGGTGACAGCAGAGGAGCCGGTAGCAAGGGCTGTCACGCATGGAGCAGACGGGGTGGCAGAAGGCACCATGGCAGGTGCTTTAAACATGACAGCCACCAAGTCCGCCTTGAAACAGCTGAACAGAACCCTAGCAGGGGCAGCCGCTGAGTGTCCTGGAGGACGCAAAAACAACCCCACTATTTCCAGCGTGGCCAACACGTGCCCACCTTCCGCTCCGACCTTGCGGAGGGAGCAGGCTGGGAGGCAGCCGTGCCTGTCTCCTGGCAGCACTGAGGCCCCCACAGGGAGAAGGGAGAGCACGCAGGAGGGCGCTCTCCGGAGCTCCCCACCCCGCACCCCCACCCCAGCTGCCAGCTGCCAGAGGGCAGGTGGGGACAAGATACCCCACCAACCAGGGGACAGCACCTCAGGCAGCCTGAGAGCCCCCAGAGAGCAGGAGGAAGGCCGCCGCAGCTCCGCGCACAGCAGGCATGACACCACCTGCAAGGAGGTCAGCCCTGCCCACGCCCCCACCGCTGAGGAGTCCAGAGCCTCTCACAAACTGGGTGGGACAAAAAGTGCACATTCCTGGCCTGAGATACACGGCAGGATCGGCTCGCTGTGGCACAACATCAAAGCCAGAGTGAGCGGCCGCACCCAGCCACAGAGAGGTGGACACCCTGGACAGGACCGGCTGGGAGACCATCACAAAGAGGACAGCCAGGGACTGCAGGTGGCTGGGAGCAGACCCTGGGCCAGAAGCCACAGGGAGGACCAGGGCTAGGGAGGGGACCAGGGCTCAGGACATACCCCTGCATGTTAAATAAAAGATAAATGAGAAATACACTGAGAATGTGGCATGCTGCCTTCTGTCTGAATTTCCAGGTCAGTAGCGGTGACCTCACAGAGGATGCCCTGAGGTCATCNGAGTCTGAGCCCCATTCTGGTCCGTGCTGTTTGATGGCTGCCGCCAGCGCCTTGCGCCCTGTCCAGCCATTCACTGAGGTTGTAGATCGCGAAGGAAACCCATGGCTTGAGGAACTGAGGAGGCTCGAGGCAGGCCTTCCTCACGGTGGAAACACAGCTGGCGAGCTGGATGGGCAGGACGGCAGCGTGGTTAGGGCAGAGTTCCATCTAATCAACAGTAATAATTACTGGGCGGATGCTGTTTAGAGTGAGATGTTATAGGCATTTTTGTGTTCATGACTGCCTTTAATCCTTAAAGCAACTGCACAGGCAGCTATTAGTCTCACTGTATGGGGGAAGCAGACCTAGAAAGGGTGAGTAACTCCCCAGAGGGTACAGCGGGTTCACCTCGTCCTTCTGCCAGGTCCTGGCACCTCTGCTCTAGTCTCCTTGGTCACCACCCTCCTGGCCCCTAAACCCACCTGAACAGAAATTCCTTCATGAGCCTTCTCAGGATCTTTCTTTGCTTCTGCTCCTGCCTCAGACCATCAGTGCCTCCAAAGCCAGCGCTGTGTCTCCTCGTTCTTTCTGGCCTCCCGTCTCCAACAGAGGGCCCCGTGTGAAGTTCTTCATAGAGTGGGCCCTTGGTAGATGCTCCAAGTTCATGGCTGTGGTTGCATGTGCAACTGGGGTTGCTGGAGGAAAGGCAGAAATGAGGGAACAGCCAGAACCCAAACCCAAAGGAGAGACCCTCTATCACTCCCCAAAACTCCTTGCTTGCAATATGCATAAAGTATGACCTTCGTAAACACCCCAGGAAAATGCCTGCCTGTGAGTGTTCAAGACCCAAGGTGAGCCGTCTGGGGTGGCTCGACAAAAGCTTGTGGACTGGTGGGAAGGAAGTGTAAGCTGGGACTCCCTGCACCAGACCAGGTGAACTGCACGTATCTGTGGCCACGGGGAGAGAAGGTACAAGGTGACAAGGCAGCGTTGAGGGCAGGCCTTTGAGTTCTGGCCATTTTGAGGGGATGGGAGGAATAAATAGAAGAGACAAGAAGGGAGCAGTCAGACTGAGAAGCTGACACCTGCCTACTTTAGAGACAGACTCCCACATCTTAGAGCTGGGGTCAGGACTTTAAGGCCCCCACCTGCCCGTTCACCTCCCCGCCAAGTTCTTCCAGTGAGGTGGGGGCTGGTCTTCCCTCAGCCCAAACTGCCCTCTCTGGTCCTCACCCAGTGCCTGGCATCCCAGCCTTTGACTCCCTTGCCCCATTATATCTGTAGATGCCCCCATCATTACCCCAGATGTTATAGAAAAGCTGAGAGAACCACTGGTGGTCAATGCTGGGAAGCCGGTGACAGTGCAGATCCCCTTCAGAGCCGCCTCCCAGTTCAGGCGTCCGGGAGGAAGGACGTGGCTGAGCTGCTGGGAAGCAGCACAGGCGCACAGGCAGCCCTGGGGGACGGCTTCCCAAGGCTGTGCCTCCCCTGTGCCAGCAGGAAGGTCCATGGCCAGTACAGCGGGACCCTGAGGAGTGAGGGAGGCTCTCTACAGGCCGAGCTCACCTTCCAAGCCATAGGTGCCAGTCCCAGCCTTCCCCCCAGACAAGGCCTGAGCATCCCGGGGCTCTGGGGCCTCCCAGCCAGCCAGGGCAGGCCTGGGGCGTGGTGCCCTGGCCTTGACCCTCTTTGCGTGCTGTTCAAGATCCAAACCTGCCCTCCCTCCACCCCCCCATCTCCTCTCTCCTCCTCAGACTGGTTGGGATGAAGCAGTTTAGACAAATAAAGAGCGGGGCTCCCCCTGCGAGGAGGGACTGGCTGTGCTTCTCTGATAGCGTTGAGGATCTGCAGGGGTGGGGTGGGCTGGGGCCTCCAGCCTGGAAGGACGGGAGCCAAATAGGACTGCCCTCGGCCGGAGGGCTGACCAGGTACCCGCACCAGCACTGAGCGGGGGGCCTCCAGGCTGGGGAGTCCCCCGTCACCTCCCCAACCACAGGTGTGCGTGTGTTGGGAGGTAAGACCAGGGACCCCTGTAGGTAATGGCCAAGCCTCCCTGGGCTTTCAGCCCTGCTGCAAGTCACCTGCTGGTGAAGGGGGACGTCCAGCACCGCTTCCCTCCTGTTCCTCCAACTCTCCCCCCTGACTTCCTCCTCTCGGTGGGACCCCAGACAAGCCCCAGCCCCCACAGGGCCCCCTGAAGGGGCAGGATTGCAGCGAGGCCGGTGTTTGCCTCCACTGGCAGCCCCCAAGCGATGATGGGGGCCAGGCCCTGGAGCACTACATGGCAGAAGACGACAGGCCGGCAGGAGCACGTTGCTGAGGGTGGGCGAGTCCCCTGCAGATGGCACTACCTTCACCGATGGCTGCGTGGAGGGGGCAGGAAGTACATGTTCTGTTGGGGGTCTGTGACCTCTGAAGGGACCAGAGAGGCCCTGGAGTCCTCGGAGGTGCTCATAGCCCCCAAGGGTGAGTGGCTGGGTGGGGTCTTGGTTGTAAATCCCTGCGCTTTCCACGGTGCCCGAAGGATGAGCAGGTCTCGCCATGGGCTGAGGGGCTCCAGGGGGCCTTGGGGACCTTCCAGAGTACTGTGGAGACCTCTGGTCTCTGCTGCATTTGGGGACTGGATCAGGAGGCAGGCTTTCCAGGGCTTCTCCCGCCTGTGGCTCTCCTTGCAGGGGACGGGGGATGGACATGCAGGACCCACTCTCTCCGGGCCTGGTGGGGTAGCACCCTCCTCCACCAGATGCCCTCCATCTGGAGTGGCTGGCAGGGACCCTGAGGCTGGGGAGCCTCAGGGCTGGTTCTAGACTCCGAGGCCCCAGGCAGAACAGGGCCCAAGGGAGGCCGGCTCAGCCCCAAGGCCCTCAGGAAAGGACAGTGGCGTGCCCCCAGGGGCGCACCCCCTCTCCCCCAGGACTGCCTCATGAGCTGACCCCTTTCCTCAGCCTCTGGCTTACCAGCACCTTCTCTGCCCCCAGCTGTCCCTGGGCCCCCTTCCACCCCAGCCATCCTGTCTACCTCTAGCCAGGGCCTCACACTGACCTGGATGGCACCGTGGGGCCCTGGCGGTGCCCACATCCTGGGCTACCTGGTTGAGAAGAGCAGGAAGGGGAGCGACACCTGGATGGCAGCGAACAAGCAGCCAGTGCCTGGCTAGCAGGCCAGATGCGTCACCGCCCTGCCTCCAGAGGTTCCTGAGACGCCATCCCGGCTCCAGGGTCCTGGCCGTACCTGATTAATTCAGTGCCGCGGGCCTCACCGGGGGTGGTTTTGCCCCTGGGCACATTTGACAATGTCTGGCATTTTTCGGTTGTCATGACTGAAGTGGGGGAAGGTGGGAAGTGACATCTAGCGTGAAGAAGCCTGAGATGCTGCTAAACATGCACAGGTCAATGCCCCCGCCCCCACTTCCCTGAACCCAGAATTATCTGATAACAATGCCAATCGTGCCCAGGTGGGAAACCGAGTCTAAGAGAAGTCTCGGGGTGTAGGCCCCCGAGGCGGAGCTGTCAGCCGCGGCCCCTCTCCCTCTGGTGCATCCCAGCAGCTCTCTTCCCACTAGATCCTAGTGGCCCTGTCCACACCGTGGGGAGACGTGCCCCCAGCCCCACCAAGCAGTTTCCAAGGATCTGCTTTCTGAGATCAGAAAGAACAGCCCACCGCCCTGAGCACATTGTCAGGAGACCTGGTTTCTGGCTGAGGCTTCTCTGGCCTCAGTTTCTCCTCTGTGGAAAGAGGAAGAGGAACTCCCGGCATCCTTCTGACTACTCCATTTAGCGCTTCCTTTTCACTTAAATACAACAATAACTCTGTAAGGCAGAGAGAACCAGGGAGACTAAGGCACTGGCCCAAGACCACCAACCGCCCAAGAACCAGTCCAGGGCTCCGGGCCCCTGACATCCTGAGCAGGGCCCTCGTCCCCTTGGGCCACAGGCTAAGTGTTCTCCAGAAATGCGAGGCACCCGGCCGTCTGTCCACACGTCACTGGTCCCGTCTGGGTGGGACTGACGCGGGGTCGCCTCTCCACAGGCAAGGGGTGGACCATGGCAGACGTGTGGCAGGGCTGTCAATATGCGTTCCACCCGCCCCCACTTCCCTGAACCCAGAATTATCTGATAACAATGCCAATCGTGCCCAGGTGGGAAACCGAGTCTAAGAGAAGTCTCGGGGTGTAGGCCCCCGAGGCGGAGCTGTCAGCCGCGGCCCCTCTCCCTCTGGTGCATCCCAGCAGCTCTCTTCCCGCTAGATCCTAGTGGCCCTGTCCACACCGTGGGGAGACGTGCCCCCAGCCCCACCAAGCAGTTTCCAAGGATCTGCTTTCTGAGATCAGAAAGAACAGCCCACCGCCCTGAGCACATTGTCAGGAGACCTGGTTTCTGGCTGAGGCTTCTCTGGCCTCAGTTTCTCCTCTGTGGAAAGAGGAAGAGGAACTCCCGGCATCCTTCTGACTACTCCATTTAGCGCTTCCTTTTCACTTAAATACAACAATAACTCTGTAAGGCAGAGAGAACCAGGGAGACTAAGGCACTGGCCCAAGACCACCAACCGCCCAAGAACCAGTCCAGGGCTCCGGGCCCCTGACATCCTGAGCAGGGCCCTCGTCCCCTTGGGCCACAGGCTAAGTGTTCTCCAGAAATGCGAGGCACCCGGCCGTCTGTCCACACGTCACTGGTCCCGTCTGGGTGGGACTGACGCGGGGTCGCCTCTCCACAGGCAAGGGGTGGACCATGGCAGACGTGTGGCAGGGCTGTCAATATGCGTTCCGGGTCACAGCTGTGGCTCCCTCTGGCCCTGAAGAGCCTGGGCCCCCATCGGATGCCATCTTTGCTCGGGACCCCATGGGAACATAGAGCACCAGCCCCGGATGAGGGTGGTAGTGGGGGTGAACAGGCGCTAGCTCTGAGGCGGGTGGGACGTCAGAGGTGGTCCCAGAGGAAATGGCCAGGAGGGCTGGAAAATACAGGCTGAAAGGCCTCTGGCCACAAGGCATATCTTAGGGGCCCAGAGGAGGCTTGAACCCCTAACTGAGATATTACAGCCCCAGGGCCAAGTAGTGGGGACCAGAAGAGCTCCCTCCCCAGCCCACTTCACTCTGTGGCCTCTGGCAGGTCAGTCCCCAGCCTGGCCCACCTGTTGCAGTCCTGTCACCACCTACTCACTCCAGGGAGGAGTTACCATCCCTGCAGGGCAGGGGGAACACAGGGGAACCTTACCATCAGTTCTCTATCCAGTAGTTGTTTGCCCACTGTGCCAGGGACCAGTGACTAAACCTGGTCTTGCCCTTGGGAAACTTCCAGTCTAGAGTAGCATTTCCCTGCCCGTGGTCGCAGAAGCATCAGTTTACTGAGAGATGCCAAGAGAAACTGTGAGAGCGACAGAGTCGGCAGAAAAGACCTGGGATCCAAGATGTCTATGACTTGCAGCCCGATACTTCCAAGTCCTGCAGGAGAGAAACTTATCCTGCTTTCATCCAAATCTCTCAAATGTGAGCAGAGAATACCTTTTCCACAAAACACCTACCAGTAACTTCACGTCAAGGTACACAGCTTGGAAAATGCTGCTCTGTGTGCCTCTGAGGAGACCCCTGCCCCTTAGGAGCCTGGCAGTGGCAAGCTGCACATTTCGGCACTTGCTGGATCGGACAGGTGGCCAGCACCTCCAGGGCGCCTTTATAGCCCCACAGGACACACTGGAGGTGTCCTGCTGTTGTAATGAACCCAGCAAGAACAGAGCATTATACAAGTTTAATTGTTCAGTTGGCATTCAAGTATTAGTCCTAGAAAGAGCAGAGTGTGGAATGGAGGGAAGGGTGAGGAAAGCTGGCCCACGTGTCTCAGTCCTTGCAAAGGCACCAAACCTGTCCTATTTTATTGTCAATCTCTCTCTTATCAGTGACAGGGGACAGGCAACAAGTAGGAGAGGCAGGGTGCCAGAATCACCCCCCAATCACCACATGTCCTCACCCATGCTACTGAGTACGGCCCGTGGACCAGCAGCATTAGCCGGGAGCTTCTCAGCAATGCAGAGTCTCAGCTCCTGCCCCAGACCTGCTAAAGTAGGATCCGTGTTTTTAACAAATTCCTCAGGCGGTTTGTACACAGCCTGAAGCTTGAGAGGTGTGGCCCTACCCCAGTGGTTCTCAACCTTTGCTGCATATTTAGAAACACTGTGGGAGCTTTAAGAAAAACCCTGCTGCCTAGGCTGTACCCCCAAATTTAATCCAAATCTCTGGGGTGGGAGCTTGGTGCCAGTATTTTTAAAGCTCCCCAAGTGATTCTCCATTGTGCAGCCAGGTCTGGAGCCGGAGCCCTGGGTATCACACGTTGGTTTATTCCAGAATCCCTGTGGGTGGGTAGGGCTTGTGTTATCACTGCTTTATTTAACAGGTGAGAAATAAGAAGTATGGGCTGAGTGCCCAGGAGGAGTCTTGATTAGGAGCTAAGAGATCAGAATAGGAAGATACAGAATTCTGGTCTTGGGGCCTAAGAGGTCATCAACTGAAATAGCAGGTCACAGGAATTACAGAAGGATAGTTAGGGGAAGGAGGCCGGCGGGTTGGTAGATGGGTGCCGTGAGCCGGGAGGCGTCCCGGGAGGAGGTCAGCTGCAGTCTGCGGTGCACAGGGGAGGCAGAGTGCGGGATAGAGTGGGGATTGGGTTCCAGGCAGGAGCATCAGGGAAGTCTACAGGCAGAATCCCCGCTCGAAAGGCCTTCCTAGCCTCCCACAGGAAAACTAAGGAGTATCTACACTGAGTGGCCTCCCTGGGGAGAGGGTGATGCCGTTTCTGACTTTCTGTGGTGTCCGGCGAGGAGGCTCTGGGCCCATGAGGGATCTCTGAGTCACAGACACATGGTTCACCAGCATCACACTGAGCTGGACCCAGCCCGACACTCAGGACAGGGATGAGGCCAAGGAATACGTGGTGGAGCTACGTGGCTCAGACAGTCTCCAGTGGAGCCAGTGGAGCTGTACAGCCAACGGGCTTTGTCCCCAAGAGGGCTACTTTGTGCAGGTGACAGCAGTTAACAATGGGGGCCATGGCCTGCCCACTGCCCTGAACACTCTGGTGCCAGCCATGCACGCTGCGGGGGAGTGCCACCTCCTTCCTCCACCTACAGGCCCTGCCTGAGCAGCACCCTTGCAGGGCTGAAACAGGAGCCCTCCCAGCTCAGCCAGGTGCCTTTTATCGAATACCTAGGAAAAGCTAGGCAGTGAGCTAGCCAGGCCCTTGAAAAAATGTTTTCTCACTACAACTCAGAAAAATCCTACAAGGTTAGGATGTTTTTCCCTGATTTATAGATAAGGAGACTGAGGTCAAGGTTGCTTTGTCCTGGGTCTCACTGCTGATGTGAGGCAGTCAGGATTTAAAACAGGTGGCCCTGGCCCCAAAGCCCAGGCTCTGTCCCAGGTTCGCTGCTGCCTGGCAGGCCTGGCTTAGGATCGGTGCTCTTCAGCCCACGCGGCTCCCGGCCAGAGGAGAGGACGTCCGGGCTCCCTGCTGCTCCAAGGTGGACTGTCTCTCTCCCTTCGAGCTCTCATTGCTGGAAGCAGCCGACTCTTTGGCTCAGCCTGATACCGGGCCACCCCAGCAGACCCTGGCTGTCACTGCAATAACAGAGGCGAGTGATAAGAAGCGCACTGCACCGGGTGCAGACCTCACACCCTGGTCCTGGCTCCAACCACAGCCCCACGAGGTCTCAGGCTCTCCCGCCTCCGATCAGGGGTTCCCTCACCTGCAGAGGAAAAGAGTTGGGTTACCTGTCCACTGTCCCGTGTCCCACCAACCGGAGCCCCGGCCCTCTCCCTGATGGCAGCCCTTCCCTGGCCCCTGCCCTCTCCCACCAGCATCCCTCCATGAGCTCCAGGGATTTCATCCTGGGGCCTCGTCCCGGCTCCCTCTCCATTTCCTTCAGAGACCCGGCCCCAGGGGTCTCAGCACCAATTCGCTGCCACCTCCAGCCCTGCCTTGTTGGGGACCAGGGACTGGGGCCCAGCTATGAAGGGAGGTGACCAGCCATCCTGTGTGTTCCAGTCTGTCCCAGGTTCCTCATGGACTCCAGCACAAAGGAGTCACTCATGGTCAGAGCTAGGGACACCATTGCGGTGCCTGTCTCCTTTGAAGTGAGTGTAACTAAGGGGGTTTGGGGAGGGAAGCCCCGAGTGGCTAAGGCAGCCAGACTCAGCCCTGCGTCCTCTCCTCTTCCCTGTTGCTTCTCAGCCCCTCGTCAGTGAAGGGCCTTGTGCTGTCTGTCCCCTGGCTGCTGGGGGACCCTTCTGCTCCCGGCTGCACATCCCTCTAGCAGCAGCGTTGGGCACTGCGCCTGTAAACTAAGGCTCCTACTTTTCCCCACCTCTGCATCCCCTTCATTTCCAGAATGTGTGTCATGCAGTCACATGACCTGCATTTGGCAGGTTGACCTGACCCACACCTGCCTCTGCGGACACAGTGTGCTGTGATCAGAAGCACAGACTGAGTTCAAGTGCTGGCATCACCACTCACTAGCTGTTTGACTTGGGACAAATACCTTAACCTGTCTGTGTTCCAACTTCCTTTTCTGACCAGTCGGGGGTAACAACAGTAACTTATCTCAAAGGGTTGTTCTGAGGATTCAGGGAATTAGTACACTGACATCAGACTCAAACCTAGCTCTAACTGAGTCACGTGTCCCTCACTCATAGGCCGTAATAATGACGATGATAATGATAACACAAATATTTAACACACCCTGAGTGTTTACTGTGTCCTCAGCCCTGTCCTTTGGGCTTCCTGTCATTATTAATTCTTGAATCCTCAGAACAAGCCCGTGAGGCAAGCTCCTGTTAGCAGTCTCATCTGCCTCTGATGCTGGTACCAAGGGTCTCATGGGGAGTTGGCAGCCCGGCCATCCAGGCAGCTGGACTGGCCTCCCCATGGTCAGGGGCACCACTGTTCTAGGCCAGCTCACAGAATTTGCCTCCTGGACTCCTCCCAAGTCATCCTCCTCTTGATCTTGGGCACCAGGATGGTTCACACCCCCTCACTCCCATCCAGACCTCCCCTGGCCACAGGAATCCAGACCTAATTAATCCAGATTCCTGCTCATAATCTTACAGTGGAAGCTCGCTGCTTAGAAAATAAACTCTAGATGTCTGTGTGGGTGTCCTGAGGCCCAGCTTCCCCTCCCACCTTGCTCTCCTTCCCCACCAGCCCTACCATGCCCTCCTGCATTGTCTCAACCAGCCTTTCCTGAAGCAGGTGCTTACCACCACTGGGGTTCTGCTCAGACGTTCTCCCAGAACACTCTTCTCACCACTTACTCCAAGGCCCAGCTTAAATGCCACCCCTTCCATAAAACTCCCCCACTCACCCTTCCTCTCACTCATGTCTCAGGCTGCCCCCATGCCTGAGGTGACCTGGCAGAAGGATGGCTTGCCCTCGCCTAGAAGAAGAAGTGTGATCTCCACCACAGATGTCCTTACCCAGCTTCTGATTCCTGTGGCCAGCCTCTCAGACAGTGGCCTCTACACTGTGGTGCTGAGGAGCCTGCAGGGCAAGAAGGCTGCCTACAGCTTCCACCTCAGGATGGCAGGTGAGGCCGGCCTAGGCTGGCACATCTGGCTCCATCTGGCCTGGGCTCAGCTCTCAGTCGTTGCACCAGGCCTGGGTAGGCAAGGTGGCCACACCACCTGGGGGCTTCCTGTGTGCTTGAGGACAGAAAGGAGAAAGGTAGAGAGAGAGCCCGGGGGAGGGGACTCATTGTTCTTCTGCTTTAGGGACAGCTAAGCCACAGCCCCTCACCAGACCTGGGTGTTCTTCATTTGGGGTCTGTGATCAAATGTCACCACTATTATTATCTCCTCCAAAGAGCCCTGGGAAGGATTGTCTGTGGTCCTTGTATGAGGTAGAGGTGGCCCTCTCCACTGGGACTCCCACACAGCCCCACACGCCCCCACCCCTGGTCGGGGTGGCTTCTGTAGCACAGCAATGATGAGCAAGCGACAACGGGGTCTGCCGCGCCAGCTGGATGTCCGACTCTGCCCAGAATGCCCTCTGTGCCCTGTGTCATTTTACATGCAAACCAACGTAAATGACTCTTTTTGGAGAGGTTTCGCACCCTCTGAGATAACTGTGTGTCCAGGGCCAAACTCCCTCTGGCTCCAGCCACCTTCATAGCTAGACTTCATTCCCAGGACCCTGGAAGACCTGGGCCCTGGGTGAGGGCCTGGCAACACCCCATGGGCATTTCCAGGAGCTCTGCAGGCCTCCCGCACTCGGCCCCCTGTACCCTCTCTCTCTTGCAGGGCACCCTCAGGCACTAGGACCCATCTGCCTACAGGAGAATGTGCCTGGGACAGTGACGGCCGAGTGGGAGTGCTCACCGGACGAGGCCCAGGGCATCCCTCTGCACTACACTGTGTTCACATGCTCCGTGGCACACGGCCCCTGGCTCCTGGTGGCCGACCACATGCACACCAACTGCTACACCCTCATAAGGGTCCTCCCGGGGTGCCAGTACCACTTCCGCATGGTGGCCAAGAACGAGCTGGGGGCCAGCACACCCTCGGACACCTGCCAGCCCTGGTACATCCCCCAGCAGCGAGGTGAGCTCCATGCCAGTGCTCCAGGGGCCCATGGGCAGCTGAGGCGCAGCTCTGGCAGAGGGCTGGGCTCATCCCAGGGCAGCCAGGCCAGCAGCCAGCCCAGGAGCTGTTGCTCCTCCCTCCAGTCCAACCTGCCCAGCAGCGTGTCCCTGGGAGGGGCCTCGCAGACTTTTATAACCAGGGCAGAATATGAGGGCCAGGGGGAGCAGTTATGGCATTTTCATCCACTTCTGAACAAAGCCCAAAAGCCCTTGCCAGTCAAGCACATTGAATCTGAGCACGAATTCAAGGGACTGAAGACTAGGTCCGTTACTAACTAGTTGTGTGACCCCAGCAAGCTCTTTAGCCTATGTCTGATTCCTCTTTGGTAAGTTAAGAATAATAGTTGCCTAACCCATTACCATATTTACTCCCTCACATATAGAACCATTGATGCATCTCTCAATTCATCCATTGATCCATTTTATGTTTTTTTATATATTTTAAAGTAAGTTGCAAACTTGAGTATGCTTCACACCTGAACACTTCAGCCGAGCAAAAAGCTTTTTCAGGTCTAGCATTTGGCCACTAGGGGGCGTCCAAAGGCCATAAGAAGCTTTAGTAAAGCAGACTAAATTACTACAGCAAATTAGTCTACAATCCTAAAAAGGTATGTGCTGGGGAAGTTTCACAGTGTAAAAAATGACATTTACTAATATGATAGACTAAAATACTGGACATAAATCAGATGTAATTTGGGAAAGGAATGATCAGAGGTAAAATATGATGATATTTATTAAACTTAGTAAGAATATTACTTAAACATTTATGTTTAATATTTATTAAACATAGTAAGAATAACTAGAGTAATGACAAAAATAATAGATTCAGAGCAAAATATGGAAAGTGAAAAATAACTTCAATCCAAACGACGGCAAGTAAGGAAGGAGGAGGAAGCGGAGGAGGGAGGGAAACAGAAGTACTGGGACAAACATAAATAATAGAAACACCTCAGTCATCACAAATAACATAAGTTAAATTCACCAGTTAAAAGACAAGGACCATCAGACTGTATTATCAAAACCCAGCTGTATTCTGTTTACTAAAGACACTTAAACACAGGACCCAAAAAGATAGAGCTGATGAATGGCGAAGATATTTCAAGTAATTATTAGCCAAAAACTAAAACTAAAAAAAATACACAAGACATAACCCTTGATAGAACTATATTGGTAGCAGATAAAAATGATCTGTAAAAAGACTACTGTTAGAAGAGATAATGGAGTCATTACCAACATTTAAATGTCTACTTCACTAGGAAAATATAAGTTTTGAACTGGCATGCATCTAAAAATAGAGCCCTATAATATGTTTAAATATTTCCACAAAACATCAAAAGCAGAAATTAACAGAACTACAAGAAAAATGAATCATTGTGATATTGTACCATTCTTCTTTTAGTAGTTAATATATCAAGCAAAAAAGTAATAAAGATACAGAAGATGTGAACAGCACCCTTAATGAACTTAATGAGTAAACACAGACCACTGTGCTCAATGAATGGAGAATAGCATTCTTCTGAAGCACAGACGAAAAATTTGTGAAAATTGCCATGTACTAGGTCACAAAGCCAGCCTGAACAAATTCCAAATGATTCATCTATTTCAGAGACCACATTGTCTGGCCACAGTGCAATTAAGTTGGAAATCAGTAATAAAAGATACATATGTAAAAGCTCATACAACTGGAAATTTCAAAATATACCTTTGAACAATTAATGATTCAAGCAGAAAACCATAATGGAAAAGAAAAAAATTTAGAACTGAGTAATAATAATAATAAAGTACATATCAAAACTTATAGAATCCAGTGAAAATCAAATGGAGAAGAACATTTATAGCTTATATGCCTTCTCTAAAAAAACAAAAACAAAAAAGGCTCAAAATTAATGAGGAAAGGATCTGCGTCAGGGACGATTTCCCAGCCTCCCATGATTAGGTATGACTGTGTGACTGAGTTCTGTCCAGTAGAATATTGTCTATGTGCAAAACGTCCAGGTCTGACCCTTAAAACTTCCTGTGCAAGCATCCTCTAGATGCTAGATGCAAACAATCCTTTGTAGGACCCTTACTCTAGAATGTGGTGGAGCCATCTGATGGAAGGCACTCAAGTTCCTGATGACTCCAGGTAGAGCAAGCTCCTCAGTGGCCAGCTCACACTGGACTGTGATGTGAGAAATGAACCTGAACTGCATTAGGCTGAGATCTGGGGGTTGTCATGGCAGTTAGCCTATCCTGAGTAATATAGCAAATAACTTTATAAAAATGGGGAGAAAGGAGAATAACTTTAAAGAGCTTAAAACCAAAACAACAAAGGGCAGAAGTTAATTAATTAAAATTCATTATGGAGAGGATAATCAAATTCAAAGATTATCTTTTTAAATGGTTAATAATATTAACAAACCTCTGTCATGATTAACCAAGGGAAAAAAGAAATGGCAAGAATAAACAATGAAAAATAGAACACACAGATTCAGCAGCGAAGGAAAATATTTAAAGTTGTATGCTAACACAGCTGAAATCAATGGAATGTGTGAATTCCTAAGGGGAAAAAAAATCACTTACCAAAATAGACTCAAAGAGATAGAAAACCTGAAAAGTCCTATATCACTGAAAAAATTCAGTTGGTAGCTTAGCATTTTCTTGCAAGGGAAACAGCACACCAGCCTGATAGATGAGAAGTTCTTTCAAATGTTTGAGAAACATTTATGATATTTACAATTTTCTCCAGAGAAAAGAAAAATAAGCATTACTCTCCAATTTATTAAGCAAGATTAGCCTTACCCTGATGCCACAACCAGAAGGACAGTACAAAGGAGGAAAGTCACAGGTCAATCTAACTTATTAGTACAGACGCAAAATCCTTAACAAATATCAGTTAACTGAATCCAACATGAAGCAAAAATGTTTATACCAAGATCAAGTGATCAATTAAGACCAAGATCACTTTATTCCAGAGTTGTAATATTGGGTTAATATTAGAGAAATGATTAACATAATTCACCACATTGATAAAATGAAAGAGAAAACCATACAAGAATTTCAATAGATACACAAAAAGGATTCAGTAAAATTCAACACCCAGTGAGAGGTAGGAGAGAGAGTTGCAGACATGGGCTCTGGAGACAGACTGCCTGGTGTTGAATGCTCACTATACCATTAAGAGCTTTGTAACCTTCAGCAAGTTATTTAATATCTCTGAGCTTCAGTTTCCTTCCTCATCTATAAAGGTGAAGATAATCATAGTACTTTTCTCACAGGTTTGTTGTGAGGATTAAAATAATTCGTATGTGTAAAGCATTAGAACAATCATTGCATGGGTAATAGAAGTTTGCTATTACTGTGATTTAAAAAGAGACTCAGCAAACTAGGAGGAGAAATCAATGTCCATAGCCATAACATCCACTAAGAGCATCTACAAAGACCTGCCGCAAACATCATAGTTGATGTTGAAATGCTGAAAGCATTCTCTTTAAAATCAGAAGTGAGACAAAATGCCTACTTGTCATCATTTATAATTAACATTGTACTGGGGGTCCTAGTCAGTGCAAGAAAAACAAATAACACATAAGAATTAGAAAGAAAGAAACAATGCTAGCATTACTTGCAGATGATGTGATTGTCTACAAAATGCAAAGTAATCTACCAATTATAGAAATTAATAAAATAACTTAGGAGTTCTGGATAAAATAATCAATATACAAATATGGAATATAAATTTCCATAAACAGTTATACTCAATTAGAAAATGTAACTTTAAAAAGATATCATTTAGAATATGGAATACCTAGGACTAGATATAATAAAAGATGTACAAAATATGCATGGAGAAATTATAAAATTGTATTGGGAAAAAATTTAAAAGGCATATGTAAATGATATACTCTGTTCCTGGACAGGAAGCTAATACAACAAAGATGTCAGTTCTGCCCAAATTCATTTATAGATTCAATGCGTTTTAGATAAAAATCCCAGAAGGGTTTTTCATGCAGATGAACAAAGTGATTCCAAAATGTAGGATAAGCAAAGAGTCAAAACAAGTCAAGACATTTCTGAAGAAGAATTAAAAAGAAAGGTGGAAACTTGCCCTACCAGACATCAAGATTTATTATCTCTGTATAGTATTTAGCAGTGAGGTTTGGGTGTAACAATAGACATGTAGAACAGAACAGACCTATGCCTATGTGGAAACTTGATTTATGACCCAGTGGGCACTATAAATCAATTGGGAAGGATGAAGAACTATTTAATATGTTGTTCTAGAACAATTGGTTATCCAAGTGACATTGAATCGCTACCTTATACGATATATAATGAATTCCAGCTGTATTAAAAAATTTATACATAAGTGGTGAAACATAAACCTTAGGAGATGCTAACCATCTGTATTACTTTGAGGTAGGAATGGATTTTTTAAGCAAGATGTCAAAATTATAGCGATAAAGTAAAAGATTATAAATTTGACTATAAATTAGGCATGTGTTTTCATCTGACAACAAAGAATGTGAAATAATTCACAGAATGATTTGCTGTACAAATATATGTCAAAGAATTCTTGTCCATAATTAGAGATCCCTTAAAATCACTGAGGAAAAGGTAAGCATCTAGAGAAAAATGAGTAAAGGACGCGGAAAAAGCGCCCGCCCCCAGCGCCCCGCCTCCACCAGCCGGCACAGCCCACACTGCCCACTCTTTCCCCTCATTGGCTGAGAGGACACGTCAGCAGCCAAACAGACCCCGTTGCCCTGGCGCCCCTCGCCCCGCCTTCCCGGCCGTGCGGGCTGCGTGCCCCGGGTTCTCACGAGGCTGGCTTGCAGGGCTCCCTTACCGGCGTGTGTGTCCCAGGCTCCCGGCGCTCCGCCGGTGCGGCCCTCGCTGCCGGGTGACGACCGAGCGGAGCCGCCGCGGCCCGTCGCCAAGCCCGGGCTGTGGCCGCAGAGGGCTGCTCCTCGTGGGTGTTTTATTGTCGCTTCCGGCGCGGAGCAGCGTGGGTCTGCAGAGCCGGCCGCTCGCCGTGCACCCGGCGGCGCTGGGGGCCACGGCGCAGGGGCTGCGGGAAGGTCCGGCCGAGCCCGCGGAGCTTGTGGGCAGAGCGCCGCGGCCGGGGGAGAAGGGAGTGCCGTGCCCCCGCCACCGCGGTCCTGCCGCTCCGTCACCCGCGCTTGCCTCTCTCCTGGGCGCCCCTCCACTCTCAGCCTCCCAGCGCCCATCCATGCGCGAGGATATCCAGGCTGGGCCACCGCCCCTACAGTTCCGGGGAGGGTTTGGCAATGAGGAAGTAAATGCTGGCTTTTCCAATTAAAACTTCACTACAGCTGAGTGTGGGAAAATATTAATGGCTTTCTTTCCAAAAACTAGGTGTTGGGGGTTGTCCTGAAAGTAAATGAGGCGTGTTTTGTGGCTGTTCTGTTACCCCATTAATGCCCTAGAGTTTGACTGTAGGGACGCTGTGTGCTCTGCCCCCCTCACTCCCACCCGCGCCTCTGCTCTAGCTCCCTGCAGGGCTGTGCATATGCAGGGTGTGATTTAGGGGCGCCCCACCTTCACCAAGTCCTTGCAAACCCCCTGCTGAGAATGCGGGTAAGCGTGGAGGCAGGTTGTTGGGGATGGGAGATGGTGACTGGTCGCTTGGAATGAGTGGAGGCACGGTGGGCTGGGGCTGCTGGAGACCCTGCTTGGAAGGACCCCTCATTTGTTTTAATGATCTGCACTTGCCATCTTGTATTAAGAATTTTTGAACAAAGTTCCCCACGTTTGCATTTTGCCCTGGATCTACAAATTATGTACACTGTTTTTTGGGGGTCAGGGAGGGGTGGGTAGGGACACCACAAGCAGTAGTTCCCAAATTTCAGTGCATTTCAGTTATTCTGAGTACTTAACAATGTTACCACCGATATAATGATAAAAATCCTCTGGGATATACATATTAGCTCTGGAGTCAGGCCTGAAAATCTGATTTTAATAAAGGGGTACCCCTAACCTCCCACCCAAGCTGATTCTGAAAGGTCTGGAACCATCATTCAGAGACCACTTCCTCCAGTCCAGGAAAGTGGGGACAGGAAACAGGCTCAGAGATGGGAAGGGCCTTGTCCACTACTAGTTTGGTGATAGCGCTGAGCCTAGAACCTGGGTCCTGGACCCTTCTAAGCCCTGTGCACCCACTCACAGCCCCCCACCTCCGTGAGGCTTACCAGAGGGCCAACTTAACCATCGGTGCCATATTCCATATGAGGTGCAGGCGCGTGGGGCCAGGGACCCGAGCTGACCTGGAGGGCAGAGTGTTCCAGGCAGAGAGGCACAGGAAGAGCATTCTGAGGGTGGGCTCAGAGGCCTAGGAGATGCCCTCAAGTCTCCAGAAATGTGCCAGGGCTTCATTCAGCACCCTCTGTGGGCGGCCCGTTACCTGGGCAAGCCGAGGTGTGCTGCAGCCATCCCAGCCTGGACCCTGAGCCCGTGGAGATTGTCTGTTCTGACCTGCACAGGGGGCAGATGCGGCCCAGAGCAGGAGAGCGCCGTGCCCGGGGCTCACAGAAGTAGGTGGCCGAGCTGGGCTTAAGTTCAAACTCCAAGTTTAGTGTTCTTCTGATCTTCCCCCAGGGCTCGGGTTTGTCCTGGGGTTGGGGCCACGACTCCACAGCGGGGAGCTCTGGGTGTCCTGAGAGCCAGTTCAGTCCCAGTGCCACCATTTACTAACATGCAGCCTTGGGCAAGTGATTTAGTCTCCCTGAGCCCAAGTCCTCACGTGTGCAGTGGAGAGAGAACCTCCACAGGGTGGGGGTGTGAGGATGCAACGTTATTCCCTATCCCCACGCTGATGTTTCTAACTCTCTGCTCACACCCCCAGCTGGAGGCCAGCGTGGCCCAGCTCTCCAGGGCTCCCGAAGTGGCTGGAGCAGGTGGAAGGCGGTCAGGGCAGTGGAGTCCAGCAGTGTCAGGGCCAGGCTTCCCGGGGAGTGCGACAGGGTGGAGGGCCTGGGCAGGGTGGATGGGGACCTGAGAGGCCTCAGCCCCATCCTCTGAACCCCAGGTGACAAGCTGCCTGCCTTCCCAGATGGAACCACCAGGGGGCACCACAGGCTTTTCAGCAGGGCTGGGGAAGGCAGCTAGGAGGAGAAAGGGCCCCAGGTGAAATCCGGGGACAGCCTGGGGACAGGAGAGCAGGGACTGGGGAGTGGGGCTGGTGCTGGGGCCACGGGGTGGGCACCAGCAGGCTCCCCCCCCCCCCGCTTCTCTCCCAGGTCTCCCTGGGTGCACTTCGTGCTGGGCCCAGGAGCCCCGCGCCAGGCCTGGGGGAGAGGTGTCCTTCAGGCCTCCCCAGCCTCCTCCCTGCACGCCCTCCGTGGCCCCCAGACCGGGAGGACCAGCAGCCTGGGGTTTTCTGGAGGGTGGGTCCCTGGCTCTGGGTGTCCCTGTGAGGGGCTTCAGGGTGGAGGTCCAGAGGCAGGAGCCCTGGAGGTCTGGGTGTCCCGTACGGCCTGTGGGTGAGGGAGGAGCTGTGTGGGTCCAGTTGGGGACAGTGCGCAGGACCACCTGCCCTCCCGTGTTGCTTTGGGCCTCATGGCCTTCTCACCGCTGCAGAGCAGCATGTCTCTAGCGTCTTCCCTGCTGGATTCTGGGTGGGACTCCAGATGTCCCTCCCCTGAGCTGGGCCCAGGGAGGACAGGGTAGAGCAGAGGCCTGGCCCTCAGAGCAGAGCACCCTCTCTTCTTCCTGGGCCCAAAGCCAGGGTCTCCCTGAGGGTCAAGAACTGGTGCCAGGGACACCGGACGGAGTGGAGCCACCTCGGGCCTGGGCTCAGACGGCCTAAAAGAAAGGCTGAGTGTCACAGCAAGGGTAGGGCACGGCCATGGCCACAGAAGATGGACAGGGCTGGTGGCAGAGGTAACCTGGGCCAGGCCCAACCAGAGACTCAGACCCAGAGCTGGCGGCACGCTGCCTAGCATGACGTCTTCCCTTCACAGTGGAGCAGGGCCCTTCCCTCCATCCTGCCCACCTCAGCAGGGGGAGCTGCTAAGCGGGCCACAAGGGAGGCGTCTGGGGGCAGCCTTGGCTGCTGACAGCTGTCACACTCGTAGGACATAGTGTCCTGGGTGAGGTGCCTGGGATGTGGGGCACAGTCTGGGCACAGGCTCAGGGAGGGTGGGGTCACCGAGGGCCGGGCACAGGGGCTTCGCCTCAGCACTTTGCTGAAGGTGGTGCCGCCAGAGCCGCCTGGCTGGAAGCGACCGGCATGTAGCTGTGGGGCACGGGGTCATCCCAGCAGAGTGCACCTCTCATCTGCCTGGGGCTGCTGTCTGCTGGCTCCGGCCTCCCCTTGGAGGGTAGCGTTTCCCCGCCCAGCAGGGTCCCCGGCCCTGCAGCCAGGGCAGAGCCCTGCCAGCCTGCACCCCACCCCTGATAGTTCTCTGTGGGCTCTCCTCCCTGATGGCCCCCCCACAGGGAACCCAGCCCTGTCCCTCTGTCCCCCTCGCCTCCTCTTCCCGATCCCACAAACAGTTCCCACACCCGGGGCCTGTTCTCCAGGCTTCGGGTCTCAGGAGCACCTCTCAGCTCCCAGCTGGGCCACGGAGGAGACGCCTGAGAGCCCACCCCTCACCTCAGCTGTGTCCCTGCTCAGAGGACTGACTGGGGTCATGGCCTAGGAGCAGTTCTCCCATCCAGAGGGCATTGGACTGGGGGACCTCCGGCTGGCACTGAGTGCCCATATCCACTCTGTGGTCCTATCCTGGCTCTGTCGGCAGCCTCAGCCAGGACAGCCCACTCCTAGTCCAAAAGCTGGAATAAACGTGTGCTGCACCTGGGAACAGCCTGTCCAAAGCAGGCATGCCATGGGGTGGGCAGCAGGGCCCTGCACGCCCTGAGATGGGCCCTGGAGGCCCAGGTGTGTCCCTCCCTCTGCTTCTTAGCTTGCTGGGCAGAGGAAAGGCCCCCAGTTCTGCTGAGCTTACCATTTTCAAACTCCTTTTTGAGACGTATTTTGTTGTTTTTTCTAATGATTAGGAGTTGGCCCGTGTTGGCTCATGCTGGTAGCATCATAGGGACTACCAAACTCCCTAAGCAGCCCTGGCCCTTCTGTTCCTTCCTCAGGGGACAGTGCTGGCCTGCCCCTTGAGCTGCAGGAGCTGGGCTCGTTAATGTCACCAGACGGCAGGGGCCAGTGAGGCCACACCATGGCAGTTACAGGAAATCAGGAAGGTGGAGAGGGGGAGCTCTTACCTGTTACAAGTGACACAGGTGTGGCTTTATGGTTTCTTGGGAACTGCAGCTCGTGGACCCACCCCTCCCCCAGACCTGACCTCACCCAGGGAACGGTCACCCTAGAGCCAGCCCTCCCATTCCAGAGCCAAGAAAGGCTACCCCGGCCCACCCGGAGGCCAGGCCTAGGATATAGGCTAGGACCCCCGGAAGAGTGCACTGGGTACATGGGACATTCATGGGGGACTTGCCCCACCCCAGGCCTGGGGAGGCCGGCTGGGGCAGGGATGGCAGCGAGGGCCTGGCGGCAGCCCGCCCCACCCCCAGCCTCACCACGCCTGCATCAGGGGAGCTGTCTGCGCTTGTACCAGCTTCCCAAGCGATGAGACACGCACCCAGCCTGCCTGCCCAAGCCTCCGGCAGCTCGCACCCTGTCATCTGGGGTGGCCACGGAGCCCCTGTCCACCAGTGGCCCATGGCTGCCCACAGCTTCCCTGGCGAGCAGAGGCCCTGGGGCCCTGGCCCTCTGGGGGACGGAGATCAGCCAGTGGACTGTATGGAAGTGAGGCTGCCCCTGGATGCATCTCCTGGGATAACTCAGGGACTGATTCTCCCAGCCTCCCACCCAAGCCCCGGGGTGGGGCTGAGGATGAGAAGGGACAAGAGTGAGAGAGTGAGTTAGCCTGCACCAGGCGGGGTGCGGGTCTTGGCGTGGCCTCTAAACTGGAGCAAGGCCTGTGCGGGGCAGATTCTGGTAAAAATCTGCAAACACAGATGGGTGTGCCTGGCCTTGGCTGCTGGGCAGGGAATCCATCTCGCCCCTCCCAGGGCCCCTGCGCGGACCAAGAGCCACACCCTCGTCTCCACGCTGCCTGTGCTCCCGGGCCGCCTTGTAAAGAAGCACATACCTGTCTGTTGGCTCCAACTGGTAATTTCCCTCTGAGCCTGTCTTTCTTAATGACTTTTTTAGCCATTGAGTATGTTTTACATATAGTCAAACGTCCAGACCCAGAGTATGCATTCTGATGAGTTTTGATAAACGTATGCAAATCAGGATACAGCTCATTCCCAGCCCCCGGGGAGCCTCCACTGCAAACAGTGACCTGAAGGTGGGGCCTGCGTCCTGCTCACCTGTGTGTCCCTCCAGCACCTGACACAGCCTGCCGGTCTACATGAGGAGAGCCTGTCCTGATCACAGAGAGAGGCCCCTCACCCACCCCATCAGGGAGTCCCTGGGTGCCGTGGTGGGGTCCAGGGACTCCCATGGGCCTGGGCAGCCCCACTGAGCTCACATGGTCTGGGCTGAATCCACTGGTGGAGTCTCTACTCTCTGCCTCTGAGCTCTGCCCACGGCTCATGGCTGCCCTCACCCAGGGCACGGCGCCCACCTGGGCCCACAGGATCCAAAATGGTGGGGAGCTGGGTGCCCTGCCCGCTCTGGCCTGGAGAGGGGCAGCAGGGCTCAGAGCCCAAGTGCCAGCAGCCACCCGCTCCAGGGCCGAAGCAGTCCCCTTAGAGCCGCGAGAGCTTTGGATTCAGTGCTGCACCCTGTACCTCGTTCTGTCTGCGACTGGGGCACGGCCTCTGGTTCCCTAATCTGTAAAATGACATCACAAAGGAGTGACTGCATCCTTTGGGGGCACCAAAAATTTCTTTTCACATAATGCTATCTGAAACCCCAATACATAATGCAGATAAAAATGGAGCCACCCAGAGAGAATGACATGGGGGGCTCAGAACCCCCCCGCCAGGAACAGCCCTCTCCTCTTCCTGCAGGAGCTCCAGCGAGATCCTTGGGTTCATCCTGCAACACACTTTGAAGTCCCTGGTGGCAAGGTCTGCTCCAGAGAGAGGCGTGTGGATCCCAGGCTCCCCTGGGCCCCCCGGACACCCCCTTTACTGTGATGGAGGACGCGATGGCAGGCAAGCTGTCTCACAGGGTGACCTCACCGAAAAGGAGAGGAGGGCCCAGCCACTAACTGAGCACTTACTTTGTGCCGTAAGTCTTTAACCCATGGTCATTTCTCATGACCATCCCACAGAGAGGTTGTTACTACACTGTTTTACTGATGAGAGGTACGCTCAGAGAGGAGAGGAATCATCTGCCCAGAATTACACAGCCAGCTCCTTCAGGAATGTCGGGTCATGGTGAGGAGTCCAGCAGAGTGCGAGAATCCTGGTCTGGGTGGGCACCTCTGCGGCCCTGGGAGAATTACATCACCCATCAGTCACCCGGCAAACATGCCAGGCATGAAGTGGAGGCCGTGTCATGGCAGAAAGGGGATAGTCTTTGCCCACAGGCTGTTGTCACCAGGAAGCCTGTCTGGGTGCTTTCCCATCCTCAGGACGGCAGAAGGTGGGGATTCAGCGTCTTTTGGGCCTTCTGTGACCTGGAGTCGAGCTGACCTGAGGGTGGCTGTGGGGTGGGGTGGGTCCAGGGTCCTGGTGGACCGACAGCATCATGAGTGGCAGGCGGGGAGCAGGCAGGATTCCCAAGCCCACCTGCTCACTGGGTGAGACGAGTCAGGTGGTGACGGGCTCTTCAGGCCTCCCTGGGGTCTGGGTCCAGCTCCTTCCAGACAAGCACGGGGAGGGATGTTACAGAATGGCTGATGGTCTGGAGCAGGAGAGGAGTGGGAGGGAATCACACCCGCCAGGGGATCTCCTGCGTAGAACCTGTCGGAGGCCTGTAGGGGGCGCTCATGGCTGTTCAATGGATGAATGCATATGTTACTGTTTCCTCTGTCCACACCAGCCTCCCCACCAGAACACTCTTGTCTTCATCTTGAAAATCTGTGCTGCCCAGTACCACACCTGGCTACAGAGCGCAGATTTCAAACACTTCATATGAGAAAGATAATGTTAACTATCTCAATAATGTTTACATTGATTACATGTTGAAATGATACATCAGATATGGTGTGTTAAATAAAATGTATCATTAAAATGAATTCCACCCATTTCTACTTTTTAAAATGCAATCCCCAAAACAGGTAAATTACATGTGTGGTTCACATTCTATTTGTTGGGCAGCCACGATCTTGTGCCCTTTTGCCCCCGCTGGAAGCCCTGGGTTTGGTCCAGCATGCAGACCCCTGCTCCCCGGCCCCCACTCCCGCCCCCCCCACTGGCCGCGCCCCAGCCTGTGAGTGACGTCAGATGGCCAGATCTCGTTGTATTAGACTTGGCGCCTCTCAGTGCTGGTAAAGCAACAGCTCGGAGAGGACACCCTGCTGCCCAAGGCCACCAGCCAGAACTCAGACCTGAGTGGCGATCAGGGGTGGGAAGGTGGTCAGCAAATGGGACATGTCGGAAAGTGGCCGGCGGTGCGGGGGTCACTGCAGGGCATCGCTGGGTGGGCACCTTACCTGTGCTATCCTGTCCAGTCCTCATGGCAGGGGTAGATGATACCATCTCCATTCTGTGCCTGACGAAACTGAAGGCTCAGAGGCGAGCAAAGTCAGAGTGGTCACACGGCTGGTAAGTGGCAGAGCCATGATTCAAATGAAACGTGATAAGACTTCAAAACCTGTACTTTTAACCTGTAGCTTGTCCCACGAGGTGGCTTCAGAGTCCCAGCAGGACTGGGGCTTGAGAACCCCATGTGTGGGGCAGAATCAAGGCCAACGCAGGTTCTCAGAAGACGTTCTGACCCCTGCTCCTGCCTGGCCTGGGACCAGCTCCCATGGCTGATGGCAGGAAGGCCGCAGGCTCCAGTGGCGGGACTGGGACTGGCCTTAGAGGCCAGGACACCTGCACGGTGACGGTTCTGCTGCTCAGGGATGGCCAGTCTCCGCGGGGCCGGGGAAGCCCACACACGGCGATGCAGCTGGTTCACGACAGAGCCAGAGGGCTGTGGGTCCCTAGGCCCTGGACTCTGGGGAAGAGGAGGAGGTCCGAGACCATTTTATTGCCACTTCCTATGTAATTAATGACTTAACAACCTTGAGCATGGTTCTGAGAGCATGACCCTAGCTCAGAGTTGAGTCTCCATGCCCTGCAGGGTCCGGTGAGTGTAGTTGCACCATGACCTTTGCTCCCTCGGCAGCTTCAAGTCTCCCGGCCCCCTCCTCTGTTGGGCCTGGGGATCTCCATGGGACCTGCAGCCTGACCGGGCACCACCAGCCGCTGGGAGCTGGCCTCGGGCTCTGGGCCCTGACCCTCGGGGGGCGACGCGAGTCACTGTGCCTTCCCTGCAGTCTCGTTGCTGTCATGCTGTCATTCCGAGGTGCCCCTGGGCCTACACACACTATCAGGCAGTCCTTCCTCACTCCACCTGGGGCACACACCGCTCCGTTCTGCTCAGCCCTGGCCCACAAGTGTGAGCCCAGCTGCTCGTCCTCCTGGTCACACTTGAGTTCTCAGTCTACCCTGTGCTTTGTGTTCTGTGCACCATGTTCTCCCCCTGGCTTCTCTCTCTGACTTCAGTTTCCTCCTCCATAAAATAGAGATCACACCACCTACCCAGAGACCTAGGAAGGTTAAGCAAGCTGATGCATGAAGTGCCTGGCACAAGGGATGCTCTCCAAACCTACCCATTCTTCAAGGCCCAGCTCAAACCCCATCTCTTCCAAGAAAGCTTCTCCTGTATCTAGGCCATCCTGTCATTAGAGGGGTAAACTGAGCTCCTTGGAGGAGGCCAACGCCTCAGTCCAGGACAGCCTGCGGGGCTCACACCGGCGTCTGCTCCAGGACTGATTGTGGGCCACACCCACTTTACCCTTTCCTTCCATGTTTCAAAGCAATGCTTTTGACCTTTTTTGTCAAAATGGTACATGCTTATTATAAAACTCCGAACAGCACAGAAATCTGTGAAGACAGACTAACTCCTCCCAGATCCAACCGCCCAGGAGAACTGTTCTGCTGAACACCAGCCCCGACGTGTCTCAAAGCATAAATACAGACGGAACGGTAGGTACATGACAGAAATAATTGTACAGGAAAAGGATCCTATGTTACATGCTTTTAAAATTGACAACATTGTTTATCTGTATTTGCATAGAACAACAAGAAATGAATAAAGCTGAAGGCATTATTCTACCTTGGATAAAAGTTTCTTAACTACACAAGACACTTGCACCTATGGAATCCCGCTAGGGCTAAGAAAAGAAATCATTTTTCAAAACCATTCTAAAAGGAGAAGCCATTGAAACATTGAAGTTTTTGAAAACACATATTTGACATCTGTCTTTTATTGTTAGATAGTGTTTCCAAAAGAGGCTCTCACATCTGAGGACCCCCTGCCGCCTTCAGACCTCGCAGGTGGGGAGTCTGGGGGGCATGCGTTCTTTCCCTCTGATTTTGTGAACGTAACTTCGAGGTCCTCTGGCACTGAACACGGAGAAGTCTGAGCTAACCCGAATCTTCCCTCTTGTCGTGACTTGTTTATTTCTGCCTGTACTCCTGAAAAATTCTGGATGCTTTGAAGTTCAGTAACTTAAACAGGCCACGTCTTGATATTGACCGTTCTCTATCTCTTTTTTCTGTATGGCCTGTGCCCTGTCCATCAGTAAACCCAGTCCTTTCTTTATTTAACGGAAAACTTTTCTGCTCAATAGCCCTAAATACCTTTTCTATTTCATGTGTACAGTTCTCAATTTTAGGGATATTAATTATTCTTATATTCAATCATCTTTATTTATTTACTTTCTGTCCAACAAACCTACCAGTTTCTCTCTAACAGCTTTTATATCTGTCTCACTTTCTGTGAATCGATCACAATGGTGGGAGGCTCTCCTTTGTACCCTTCTATTGTTAGCCTTACGTGTTGTTGTTTCTAAATCATTTCTTAGATAAGTAATTGTATGTAATTCTCAAGGTGTGTCCCTGGCCCTGCCATCTCTCTTCATCCCCCTTCGGTTTTAGTATTGTCTAGTCTTTGGAAATTGGATTGCCAAACTCCCTGAACCATGAAACATGACTGGGGAATTTTCTGTTTTCACTTTAGGTTTTCTTCCAGTCTGGGCTCTTCCCCCATCTTTTTGATGCCACATTCCTTCCTTCCTTCCTGTCTCCCTGCCCCCACTGTATATTTTCACATAGCTGTGCCATTTCTTTTTCAGATTGCTTATGCCAACATGAGCAGCTCTGTCTACACCCTCTATTAGCCTTGATAATTGCTCCCTGGATTGCCTCCTGCGTGTAAGTCTTGGCCTCATGCCTGGGGCATGCTGCAGACAAGGGCTGTGCTTCGTCCACCCCCCGGTACAGCGGGACACGGGCATGCACCACTGGACGTCTGAGCTCTAGCTAGAATGATCAGAGGCTCACACTGTATGAGGTCCTCAAGTCCTGAGAGACTTTTTTAATATATATAATTACAGAGGATTCTCCACAGCAGTTCTGGGAGGTTATTGAGGACAGAACAAGAGAAAATGTGTTTTAATTACAACAAGAGAAACTGAGGTTACTCAGAAAACATAACTCGTTAAATCCTGAGAGTTTGCTTGCCACTAATTAATATCACATGAGCAAAAACCTTCAGGTCACTTCAGTATGGGGAGGCGGTTGCTTATCCCATCTTCTCTGGGTGCAGAGATTCCTTCACAAAGGTCCACCCTGCTGGAAAAAGCTTTCTTGAATAATCCCAACAAATGCCAGCATTTATTAAATACCTACTCTGTGTGAGGCACTTTACACTTATCTTCACATTGAACCCTCCTAACTTTCCCTCAAGTTAGTTTTCATGGATTTCCTTTTGTTGGTGAGAAAACTGAAGTTGGGCGAAGTTAGGTAACTGGTCCGAACACATGGCCTGGTGAGCTTCTGAGACAGAACACGAGCACCACCCTGTCCGGCCCCAGAGCCACCATACAGCCTCCCAGGCCGGCCTTCAT